GTGAGAGGGGGGTGGGTGGGTGTAAGGAAGAAGAAGGGGAGAGATTCAAGGGAATCTCGTTAGAAGTTGAAGGTGGTGAATGTGTGAGACTAAGAGGATACTGTTATATATAGAGCAAATCAAAGGGACAAAATTGTCTTTTACTTTTTTTAAAAAAAATATTATTTTATTTTAGGGAAAAAATTATATAATTTACTAGAGAAATATTTTTTCTGTCAGTCTGAACATTCGATAAAAAATCATAATGTGAAATAGAATGACAAGTTAGTATTTTACTACAAACATGAAAATGATAATTCATAAATAATATTTCATCTATTTCATATTAACTGAATTTTTAAAGATTTTTTTCATTATTCAAAATAATTAAGTTATTCAGAGTTTAAGATGGATGTTTGATATTTTTTTCATATTTGTCCTTCCTTTTATTATTTTCCTATAAACATGAAAATGATAATTCATAAATAATACTCTCTCTATTTCATATTAATTGAATTATTTGAGCTTTTTTCATTGTTCAAAATAATTAAATTGTTCAAAGTTTAAGATGGATGTTTGAATTTTTTTTCCATATTTGTCTTTTTCTTTAATGAAGTTTGATATTTTTTTGGAGATAATTGCACTACTTATAAAATTATATTTATGATTTCACAAATGACAATAGTGAAAATATGGTTTAAATTATGTCCTTAAATTTTTTTCTTAAATGAGTTAAATTGTCTCACAAATTCTATCTTAAGGCCTCGTACTGACACGTCTAAATTATATTGTTATGAAGAATCTGAAGTTTGCTATAAACATATTTGTATTCTAGAAAATGTCTATTTATAGAATTTGGAGAAAAGCTAGAAATCCTAGTCGGAAACTAATGCAATTATCCCTATAAATTTAGGATCCCTTTCATTATAAATTCATCTAAAAATAAAGTCTTCTCTCTTCTCCCTACTTTATTCTTCTCATTATTTTATATAATTTCATAACAAAATTTAAAATTATGATTCTATATCATATCTTCAAATACTGATTTTGAATTATGATTTTATTTGTGCTTAATGGGTTGATTCAGAATGAAGTTAACCCATACTCTTAAGATTTATTTATGCACAAAGTGACAATGATTTTCTTGAAATTCAAAATTAAATATAGAATACACACTGTACTTCAAGTAAAATATTTCAAGTTCCCCATTATAAAAAAAATTAAAAAATTATGTGGGGAGGTTAGCACACCAAAGGACAAAGCTTCTTAACAAAATAATATTTTTTTTTGTGAAATTATAAATTAAAACATTAAGAAAGATAAGCACAAAGTTAAAATCTTGCTTAGATTTTAAGGGATTAATTAAATATGAACCTACCAACGTTTACTAGCTGTAGTTTATACTTCCAAGATTAATTTTTTTGGTAGTTATACTTCCAAGATTACTCGAAAAATACCTTCATATTCCATATGTCTCATATTAGATGAACATTTTTTTTATTTTATACTGTGATTAAGAAACTATTAATAGTTTGATTAACTCTACTATTTTGCCTTTTATTCATATTAATCAGCTTTTTTAAAAGAGAAATTTTCGGGTCTTCAAAATTTGCTTAAACTTTCAAAGGTCATATTAATTGTAGGGGTAAAATAATAATAAAAAATTAATTCTATTCTGATTTAATAAATGATCAAGTCATATGATGAGAGAAATATTTTTAGTAAAATGAGCATCTAATATGAAACAAAGGGAGTATTAATAAGAGATCATTTGATAAGATGTATGAGAAATATATTGATTATATGTGCATTAGTAATGCTTATATTAGTAATGATTGCATTTGTTATACATAGATTAATTATCAATAAAGAAAAAATTTCAAAAGTTGATTTATTCATCGTTATCGGTTATCGATATCATCATCTATTATTACTATTCTATCACCCACAATTACCATACATCGTCATTCATAACTATATATCATTGTTGCCAATCACTATATGTCTATAATTAACCGTCACTATTACTACTCACCATTTAAAATCATCAACATCAATAACCATTATTATATCAACCATCAATCACGAGTTCACGACACTACTATATATCTTAATCACTATCATTATTAGTTAATTATCACTATCATTTATCACAACTATCAATCTTTATCATCAATTACCGCCATAAAATATATAATGGCACCAACACTAGCTATTAGCAACACCATCTCCTATTAATGCCTACAACCACCATCAACAACCATCATTATTATCAATCATCATATTTAAAAAAAATATATATCAGATTAATTTAGTATATTATTAAATTTTATATTTATAAACGTAAGTTGGTTTTATAGCTTACTTTAGTTGTCCACCACTGTTAGTGTTTCTTTGTAACTCTAATTCCCAAAAGTTTCTTTTTTACCACATATCCAATGGAGCACGTTTAACATGAAAAATATAAAGTTAACCTTATCATTTTTTAATTAATAATTTAATACCGTACCTTTATTAACATGGTTACTTTTTCACCCTTTTAACAAGTTAAATTATTAGAGATGTAGACTTTAACAATTTTTTTAAATATTTTTCTAGGGTCTAGATTCATTGTTCTTCAATTTATTTTTAATAGAAAAATAAACTTGATTAAAAACAACAAAAGGATTCATTTTTTCTTTTATAATTATAGCTAATATAATGATAAAGGGTCAATGATTAGGGTCAAACAAAGTAGGTGAAATAAAACTATGATAAATAAATTATTGAGACACATGGGTGCACATGCTATTAGATGTTGAGAGTTCTATGCTTGTATTTTGATACTAATCAGGATTGTTGTGATAGGATGAATAAATTCGTTCAATTATAATTAGAAATTTCGAGTTGGAATTTTGAATATAAATTAATTATAATAAAAAGTATTTCTCTTTTTAATGAACCAATTACGATCAATCGTAATCTTAATGCACGTAGCAATATAGGGTGCAAATTGAAAACCAAAAACAATATAATCTTTAGAATTACAGTGTTTGGTTGAATCAAATTGGTTCCTATTTTGTTTTTTACATAATAATATTTGCATACATTATATAAAAATTTATATATTATTTTATGTAAATAACTTATAAAACAATTTATAAATAAGATGATAGGACTAGCAATACATCAATTAAATAACTGAATAATAAATTGAACACGATCCTCATAAATTATTCTATTTGTAAAGAAAACGTAACACATAAAGTAAATCCCTTCTCCACCTCGCTCTGATAGTCTTCAAACCATACGTGAGACGTACATTTTACTTATCTGTGTGCGATGAGTTCAATCAAAAAAATATGTCAAGAGTTTGAACGCGAGACCCCCATTCGGGGTATCGGGAGAGATCATCTGCTCAACCAATTTAGTCACCCTTATAGATTTATTTGTAATCTTTACATACATTACCACTCACGGTATAATTTGTCTCTAAACCAAGCGATTGCTAACGTGAAAAAATTATTATAATCTAGTCAACAATTACTCTTAATCACGTATACTCTAATTAAGGTATATATCATCAAGTCTTGATGAGGTATTATTAATTTTCATATTCAAACCTCCAAATCATACGTATACAATTTCTTTAATTGTAATTATCATAAGTGGCTATAAGATTCCCAAAATGTCAATGGAATCAAATTAATTAAATTAATCTGATACCATTGACATTCTGGGAATCTTATAGCCAGTAATTAATCTGATACCATTGACATTTTGGGAATCTTATAGCCAGGTACTTATGATAATTACAGGTGATGACCACATGAACTAGACAATTCATTTGGATTGTTCAACACTCTAATTAAGGGGAAGGCAAAAAATGTCTAGGTTGCTTAAGTTGACTTATCACTTATGTAGAGTTTGTATCGTGAGACGGAATCAATATTTGAAATTTATCGATTTTAAATTTTAGTTCTATGGAGTTGTAGGAACGTTCTGAATAAATTATTTGTACATATTAAATGAATTTCTGAAAATAAATACTTTATTTTGAATCAAAACTATTGAATTTTATAGAATATTTCTACCCTATTTGTAATACAATTTGGAAAGAAAGAAACTATAGAAGACTTAGTCAACACATGAAGACAAACTTCAAATGACCAAAAAATATCTTTGTAATTGAAAGCTAGAAATTTCAAAGTACGCAGACAATAACGACCTATTTTATATTTTTTCTCCTTGAATTTTAGAATTTAATTACCTTTAATTTGTTATGCATAATTAATTTTGAATCTTATGTATCCATAAA